CCAATCTATATTCTTGTCAACAATAAAAAAGGGTTCCTTTTGCCCAATAGCCCTACCAGCATTTGTTATTGGTTGATTTTTTGATGATAGCCATTCTTTCTGGGGTGAGATGGAATCTCAGTGTTATTTTAATTTGCATTTCTCAAGTGACAATGATGTTGAACATTTTTTCATATATTTATTTGCCATTTATAAGAGGCCTGATTTTTAAAAATTCTTTATATGTTCTAGATAGAAGTCCTTTGTCTGAGGGACAGTTGGCTAAAGTTTTTTCCCACTCTGTGTTTTCTTTTCACTCTGTCATGTACTTATATTATTGAACTATATGAAAGTATGCCTTTTGGCAAATATGATTGAATACCACCAATTTCATATGGTTCAACAATATATGCACTTTAAAAATGTCATATTGAATTTTCAGCAATGTGGAAATATTGTAATTTTCAATGAAATATACTCAGTAATATTTATAGATGTTCATAAACATTACATATATTACTTACACAATATATTACATATATATGATCCTTATTATAAATATATGCTCAGGTATACATGAAATAAAACAGAAAAGATATGTTTCATATAGAACAGGTGTTAGGATAAACAATCGCAGTTTTCTTCAGTATAGTTTTCTGTATGCTTTAAAAGATTATATACTTTATTTATATATACTTATACCTATGAATAGTTTAAAAATCCATAAATTTTTAAATGACACCAATTAAATCAAAGAACTTCCTTTTAATTTAATGTGGTTGTAATCACCTTTTACAACACTAAATTCCCTAAATAGACATAAATTATTTTCTAATTGGTATATTAAATTTTGCTTTGTGATAAAGGCAGGTTATAAATCTTGGAAAATACATGTATTTCTTGTTATTTTTTAGAAATGTTGATACCTTTTCAAAGTTCCAAACAAATGCAAACTTTGCATGGTACCTGAAATTGTATCTTTCAAGTATTTTATGGTGACTTAAATCCCTGTGGAGGTCTGACATACTCAGAGAGGTTAAAAATTTTATGAAAAAAAATTAAAAATTTTTATGAAACTTTGCAAACAAGCATAAAATAAGAAATACATGGAACACATGAAATGACTTTCTGTACTGAATCTGTCACTACCTAACTGTTTAACCTTTTTAACCTTCGGCCAGTCACTTAACGTTTTCCCAGAAGGCCTTTGTTAAAACTACCCCCAAATTCATTCTCAACCATGCTGGTCTTTGGCAGATGAGAAGTCAGCTCTAATGCTCTTGCCAGAGTGATCTGCACTGAGATTCTCGGTAAAGAAGGCCAAGAAGATGAATAAGGGTCACTACTGAATAGGCCCAGGTTATTTTAAAATCAAGACTGGGTCTATTTTCTCTTTCTTGCTTTGATTACAAGATAATGACAACCAGAATTCACTACAGATCACTTTCCTCATCACTTTTATATATTGATGCACAGATATAACCGCATAAGGATGATACTTATTGTGTAAAGTAGTCCGTGAAAATTTTTGTCATTTTGAGCCTTGCCACTTCTTGCTTGAGATTTCAATCCCCGTTGAGGAAAGCATGGAGCAAAACCTTACAAGCCTCACTGAGATTCTCATTTTTGTTCTGCACAAATACGGTGGTTGTTCCTCTTTTGAAATAACTCTACTGACTTTATTCTGTGACATGGAGTTCTTTAATGTAAGTTGTTTCAGAACACATGGTATTTAAGAGAAAATTATGAGTGAGGTATCATCATGGTGATCACTGTTACTCATAAATATTAGAAAATATAACACCAACTGGACACAAACAATGTGCTAACTTTGCAGGCTCCCAGGAAGGAAAAGTGCTGACCATATACCGAGGCTGCCCCCGGTAGGGTTATAGAAAGCTATGCACATCCCCGGGGCTCTGTGATGGATTGTTCCGTGGTGCATGGAATGAAGAATAACTGTGTCCACATTCCCAGAGTTCTACGAATCACTTAGAATTGAATTAGGCTCAGCCAGGTACAAAGCGCAGGTCTAACTGTCTCAGCCAAATAGGTTAAATGTGCTTTCTGCCTTTGCCCACATCACTGTCCGTCAGCAGAGTCAGGGATGGCGTGATCCTCCAAAGAGCTACCTGGATCCCCAAATGTGAGTGTAAGGCCTGTCAGACACGCAGGTCCACACTTGAGTTAGAGGAGCTAGTCACTCACTGTTGCCAGGTGTGGTGGCACACACCTGTCATCCCAGCACTCAGGAGGCTGAGCCAGGACAACCACTGTGAGTTTGAGGTCGGCCTGGGCTAACAGGTGAGATAAAGCCAGCCTAAACTGCATCATGAAACTGTCTCATAAACACAATAAATAAAAAAAATTAAGCATTAACTGTTTTCAATAAACCAATAGAAATCAGCAGCACAATTATCTTAGCTATTATATATACATATGTATATATATTCCCTTCCTTCTTTCTTTATCTCCTTTCCCGCACCCCAACTGTTCTTTCCTTTTGAGCAGTTTCTTTCCCTTTCACAGTAACTATTGTACCTTTTGGATTTTATTTACTCTTTCAGGTTCTTACACCAGGGAGACAATATGATGTTTGCACATGTGGGTCAGGTTTATTTCACTTATAATTATGGTCTCTACTTGCATCCATTTACCTATAAAAGCCTCGAGTTTATCTTTCTTTATAGCTGAGTAATACTCCATTTTGCATACTTATATCTGGTAATCTGAACAACGAATTTGAAGAGAGCAATATGCAATATAACATCCACCGTTGAATTCATATCATCTTGTTTTGTGAAATTCTGTATCATTTCTAGTATCTTTTATTATATTTTTTTCTCTTTAAAGCAAAAGAATTTTTAGAAGACAATAATAAATAAATAAACAAACGATCATTTTTATCCTGGTGCATTTCAATTGGTGATAAGAACGATGCCAATGATGCATCCTGTAGGCCAGTGGCTCATGAATGTATCTCTGGGGCCAGCAGTATAGAGATCTCCTTGGAATGTGTTCCAGATATAAATTCTTGGGCCCCACCCCAAGCACAAACTGGGTGTGGGTGCCCAGCCATGCATGTGGTAGCCAGCCCTCTGAGTGATTCTTTTGCAGAAGAGATTTTGCGAGTCAATTCTCTAAGCCTGTTTCCAACATCCCTTTCCAACCAGACATACAACTACTACTTTGTGGCTGAAAGAAACATAGGTTGATGTGGTAACTGTCAACGTCCTCTGTTGTCTCAAAAATTGTGCAGCAATCATCCTCTAGTCAGGCTCTCACCTCTGCAATGGCTATTGTGTGCTTCCTTAAAAAGTGCAAGTTTATAGTTGTACAAGTTATATACTACTCATCTCCAAGGTATGTCATTGTCTCTCACAGCATGCATACCACACATTACATTTCCAGGAGATAAACTGGAAGTATTTTGAGGAAGTCCACCTTCCTCTAATAACCATCACTTAGTTACCTAGTAGCAAAACCTCGTTTTTCTCTCTCCTCAAATCTGACTCTTACCTTTTCTATCATGGCCTTCATTCTCAAGTAGCTGACACCACACGAACCACCAGATGGAAAATTCCATCATCTAACCCAATAACACACATTTAAAACCCAGTAGAACAACATATACAATAGTAAATAGGCAATACATAACTGTATAAAATTATCACACAGAAATCAGTAGCTTCTATACATACAAATAAAATTTAGACTATAATACATACTAGAAGACCCCCCATTCACAACAGCCATTCAAAGATTAAAATACACCAAAGTATCTAAGAAATGTGAAAGAACAATTGAGCTCCATAAGCTATGACATATTCATAGACATCCCAGTTAAAAGACTAGACTGTTATTGTCAATATTTATGTTTGAAAAAATTTAAATACAGACCAGTGTGTTGAAGTATCATTTGCATGAACAGTAGGGGAATGTACATAAATAAATACGTCTTGTGCTGTAAACAGAAAAACAATTCTTGGTAGTAAACAGAAACACTAAGGTTCATTTTCTACTGGAAAAGAAACAGCATGGCAACATTCAAGAAGGAAAGATTTTTAACCAGTTTACATAATTTTAAAATTCTGAACTATATGAATGTTATCTATCTAAAAAAAAATTGTAAGAAATTAGGGCAGGAAAACAGGTTCAAAACGATAGAATATAGAGTGCAAATTTACCTATAAGGCACCTTTTGGGTATCTCTTCTGCTCTTTGAGTCCTACCTACTAACAGACTGTGAACTTTTAGTCCAGCACATTGTAATGATAACCCTACTCTACATAACAAGGACAAATATATATGAATCATCTAGTTCTGCACTATAATCAAATCAATTTAACAATGGTATTGAGGTCTCCATTTACTTAAGAGATTTACATAGCCAATGCACTTGTGATAGTTACAGGTAGTTTAACTCTTTTTAACTTGCATAATCTTTATAAGGTAGATATTATCATCAATAGATATGAAGACAGAGACAGTCACCTGAAGACACAACACTGTCAGGTGACATAGCTGAATCTAGGCATCTGGCTCCCAGCTTAGGCTCTTACACTGCCCGCGTGTAAATTACAATTTAATTTCTAATTAAAGGCTACAATTGGTTTCTTATAGATCACATACATTATTTGCTATTGGCTTTTTCACGGGAAGTATGTTTTGCGTATGTTCTTATTTTCAAACCAGTGTTATGAAGACTCTTTTTAGTGTATTTTGTGCATTTGTAGTGGAATTCCAACATCTCCAGACAAGCATCCTCCTCTCTGGGCATCCATAATGATACAATTTCCAGCCCCACAGTTGGTGTAACTCAGTTTCCAATTAGAAGATGACAATCTTAAAGGCACGAGAGTGGTTTATAACCACAAAGAACTCTGAAAGGAAGATGACTACAAACACACTAGTCAGTTTGCTAAATAAAACTGAAAATGCCAAGGACTGTTACCTTTGCTTCCATTATTTTAAAAGAAAACTTTACCAATAACCTAAATTGTATTGTTACTTCTTTATAGGATTTTATCAAGGGTCTTTCCATTTTGCTTCGGGGGACAGTACAAGAAAAACTCAACTGGGCATTTAACTTGTATGACATAAATAAAGATGGCTACATCACAAAAGAAGTAAGTGACGCCTCACTAGCACAGCAACCCTCTGAACTATTTTCATTTCTTCAAAACGTTCATTGCAATCATTACTTTGGTTTTTGTTTTTGTTTTTGTTTTTGTTTTTGTTTTTTTTCTGGTACCAGGAACTGAACTGAGGACCTTGTGCTTGCCAGGCAGGCGCTATGCCACTGAGCTAAATCCCCAGCCCCTGCAATCATTAATTTGAAAATCATCTTTTCAGGACACTCAGTAAAACATTTAGAATGGAATGGAATAGTTTAGGTGACTCTCCAAAGAAAATATAAAGCACATCAAGATTATATCCTTGTTTCCCATTGGCATTTTAATAAATGCTGGGAAGGAAATGAATACTGGTTGAAATCAGATGAAAAGAAAATGTATCCAAACCATGTTAGAATATTTGGCCTGAAAACGTTTTCCCCCCATATAATTCCTATGAAAACATCCAATGTTGCAACATACACATTGTGCTATGACTTGTGCTTTGTGGGAATGACCTGATGAAATGGTGGGCTCTCCAAACACATGTTCAGGCAGCCTATCCTCACAGACCAAAGTAAGATGCTTGGAGTTCACAGTTTATTACAGGGATTTAAAACACAAGAAGCAAAAGGAAAGGGATGATGTAGACAAACCACATTTAGAATAGGATGCCAAGAGGGTTAGAGGAGGATCCTACACAAATCCTGGGCGTGCTTAGTCTTCATATAGCCCGTCTTTCTACTTCACTAGGCTTCCCCAGAGGTGAATTTTGAACAGGGAGCTCCACAGATGGTACCCAGGGCCGATGATATGAACATGCTCTGTCTGAGATACTCAAGAAAAAGTATGCCTGGTCACAGTTACAGACTGATTAGCAGCCATGGATTTTGTGTTCTCGGGCAGAGGACACATAGGGTCAGAACCAATGGGCACTGAGTTAAGACTTTATGAATATCAAGTGCTCATGCATATGATACATTTTCTGAATTAGTGTTTCTTTTACATTTGGTGTAGCAGACCATGCATTACCCAGGAACAATAACTATCCATTAGTCCTTTGCTTCCTTTCTACCTCTTTCTGTGTTTAACATGTTTCATGAATGCTTGCTACATCTGATGAACTTGTTGGTAATTATCTATGTTCAAAATTTCTTAGCCATTTTCACCTATTTTACAAATGAAAAACTATAACAGTTGTAATAGATGTTCAAAATTTCTTTGCCATTTTCACCTATTTTACAAATGAAAAACTGTAACAGTTGTAATAACAGTTGTAATAGCTGTCAATATTCACACAATCTACCTAATTCAAACTTTTTGTCTGAAATCAATCTGAATATCTAAGAAATTAGATATTTTTACTCTCATAAGATCAAAAATGACAAGGCAAAATTAGATTTGGTTTCATTTAAAAAGTTACTAAAACGGTAAGGTGTTTACCAGCATCAAAATAGTTTCACTGACATTCCTATATAGCTTCTTCCTTAAAATTGGAGGAAAATAGTAATGAAAATCCTAATCCGCTTCAGTAATTATAATCAATTAGCTGTAATTTATAATATCAGTAATTCTAAGTACAATGTGATTGCAATAAATGGAAACTGATAATCAATAGATATAACATCTCAATGAAACAAAGTCTATGCAAAGCTATATAATCTGTGCAAATCTAAATATGAAACCAGAACATTTCTTTACTGACCATAATAGATATAAGGGAACTAATTGCATCTGGAAACTAAGACTTGATTCTTACACTTTTATTCAACTCTTTTAAGGAAAAAAGTTGTTGCTGGTTTTGTCTTTGAAGAATCAAAGAAAAATCCAAACATTAAAACTAAGTGAGAATATGTGTCCAGCACCTTAGACTGGTTTCTCCACCCTTGTTTGTGGACTCACGTGTACGTCTCTTCCTTCTCAGGAAATGCTGGACATAATGAAAGCAATATATGATATGATGGGCAAATGCACATACCCTGTCCTCAAAGAAGATGCTCCCAGACAACACGTTGAGACATTTTTCCAGGTAGGAATGATAACAGAAGTAGGGGACGGAGGGACCAAAATTACCAGCAACTTTCCTCGTGTTGCAAAAGCACTGTGATGATTTTAAAGAGTGAAAACATTTTACTGAAAGAGACAATAGAATATTTTCTATCTTAGGTATTTTGTAACTTTGGTTTTGAATTTATTACACTGGTACCTGTACTTAGTAAAAACTCACTATATCCTTAACAGAACACTAAGCAATTCTCAGGTTTATAAGTTTTTGTTTCCATTCATTTTTCACAAAATCCTGTGATGTTAAGAACCCTGACAGGCCCCATTTTACAGATGAGAAAACCAGGACTCTAAACATTTCAGCATATTGCCTGAACTCATGTGAAAAGTTTCAGCTACAACAGTGACTCTCATCTTTGAAGAGGGCACTGGCTGAAAAGATCTGGCCATATCACTCTTACTTCCAAGAACCCACCAGCTCCTGCTCTGACGCAGGTCCTCCACATTAAACAAGATGGGTTCTCTTTCTAGTGGCTTCTGCCCACGGGGTTGAGGTGTGAGGGTCTCAAACAGAAAGTCTTAATAAATGTTTTGTTCTTTGTTTCCTGTGCAGAAAATGGACAAAAATAAAGATGGGGTTGTTACCATAGACGAGTTCATTGAAAGTTGCCAAAAAGTAAGTAATGAGAGAAAGAGAACTAGCACTCTAAACTTACAACAGCTACAGTAAGTACTGCCACTTAGCCACCATGAACTAAGTACGACATAAAGATCAAATGCCTAAGCTCAGCATTTCTACAACAGGTACGGTAGGCTTACCACTTTGAAAGACAGTATAAATTGGCATCTGCTTACAATCAACTAAGTGCTCCTACTCTAAGGCAGTAGCTATTTAGGAAGCCCTGCAGATACAAAAATACTCATTTATTATGTTTTTTCTCACACCCTTTAGTAAGTATTTGTTACTGAAAAATAATGCTCTTCCAACACCAAAAATAAAGACGACATTTATGGGGGGAAATGTGGGTGGTTACCTGTCTTCTGGAAAATGAATGTTAATTTACTGAGAATGATTTGATTTGATGTGTGTGTAGAAGCACACGTAAGATTAAAGAAAAAATTCATGGAGACAAAGTTAACTCTGTCAGTGCTTTAGGTTTTGTCTTTATTGTTTAAGTTCTGGCCTTGCACCTTTCCTAACATCTGCTTGTTTTTCAACTTACTTTTTGAAGTGGCCTTTCAGAGAATTAACTTGGTGACATCAACCTGTTTAAGGTGTACTGGTACCTTGGTTTCAAACAATGGTAGCCGAAACTGGTTCAGCCACCACTCCCCAGGACTACACAGCTCACAGGGGCATTCCCATGAAACTGATGAGGGTGCCTCTAAAATGCCCAGTCTGTCCTGGTAGCTCACCTCTCAGGACAATGCTGACCCGAACATAGCCACTGCACAATCGTTTCTTGAATTAGTGCTTTCTGTTGGTACTGACAGACCATTCTTTTTTTAAGGCCACATGTACTGAGCCGTGACTGGGCAACACAGAGGGGGGCACGGTTACCATACACATTCACCCCCTCGCTCCACCACCACCCTGCCTCCCACACCCCAAGTGCGAGCCTGCAGAAGTTGGCAGTAAGCCGTCACACACATGCTGTTTCCCTGCACCTATATAAAAGTCTCTGGGATTTCGTGCTATCTATCTGGAATGCCAAAATTCTCATTTACCCACTTTGATTTACCTCCTACACCTCTCTGGTTTCTGGAAATTCAGCGTTATGATTTTAGAAATATCCTCTACTAATAAGTAAGAGTTAAATGAAATGTTCAAAGATTCAAGAAAACATCAAGTTTTTTTTTTGTTTGTTTGTTTTTGGTTTTTTCTCTGGTACCGGGAACCGAACTCACGACCTTGCGCTTGCCAGGCAGGCACTTTTTGCCGCTGAGCTAAATCCCCAGCCCCGAAAACATCAAGTTAATGCTTAATTTTTTGGACCAATTTTGCATGCTTATATCTGGTAATCTGAACAACTAATTTGAAGACAATATGCAATGTAACAACCATTGCTGAATTCCTACCACCTTGTTTAATGAAGCTCTGTCGTTTCTAATTTTTTTAGGCTATTTTTTATTCTCTTTAACTGTTGGATCAATCTTGCCTTCTTACATCTGGTAATCTGAGCAACTTCATTGAACAATATGTAATATAACAACCACTGTTAATTCCTACCATTTTGTTTTGAAATACTGTATCATTTTTATTGTTTTTGCTTTGTTTTGTTTTTGTCTTTTTTTTTTATTATCTTCGATAAAAACATCAGATAGGCTACCCAGGGTGATCTATATGACTAACAGAACAGCATGTATATGAGCAAAATTTGTGTGCATGGGCCTAGGCAGTTGGTGGAAGGATGCAATATTAAAGACACAGTCGTGTACTGTCCACTGCAGATACTCTGAACTGAAGCCCCGTGTTCCTTCCTTACAGGACGAAAACATCATGCGCTCCATGCAGCTCTTTGAAAATGTGATATAACTTGTCAAATAGATCCTCGATCAACAGACAAATGTGAACTACTCTACCATATTAAAGTTGGAGCTACCACTTTTAGCATAGATTGCTCAGCTTGGTACTGAGGCATATTATGCAAACAAGCTTTGTTTTAATATAAAACCATCCCCAAAAGATTTAAGTTTTCCAGTTATAATTTGCATCCTTTTCATAATGACACTGAGTTCATGAGATGTTCTAACTCATTTCACATTCTGTGAATATGCAAAAATAATAGAATATGGCATATAGTTTTTTGATTCTTTAGTCATGGGATTATTGAGGCTTTCACGTATTAGTGATTTCAAAATATCAGTGTTTTTTGCTATTCATAGTACTAGGATTTTAAATCGTTTTCTAAAATACTTACATCTGTATTATTTCCAGAAATTAATTTCATTTCCTTATATTTATAAAACATTAACAAAATAAGATTACTACAGTTAAAATCCAAAAATACTTAATTTCAATTTCTATAGATTTCCCACCTTCTGTTAAAGATATTAATTTATCTGGCATTTTTTATAACAAATTAGTTTATTACTGGATGTCAGTGTATGCCCAATAAAATTTATTTTAATAAGCATTTTTTCCATATAACATATTATAGCAAAGGCCTAAATACTACGTAAGATGCTGGATCTGTTTAATCTTACAGGTGGATTGTATCTAGTACGCCATTACGTGGAAGTCCAAAGCAAGGATGTTTACAGACACAGACCAAGGGTCAGGGTATCTGTCCTCTCATCCACAGCAATGCTTAACAGAAAGTTATCCTTGACAGTATTAAAGACCACTCCATCGCCTTTGCCCTGACTTCCCCATAGCATGTTTATAGTACCAGCCGTTTGGGGTCAAAGAAATCTTGATCACCCCAGAGCCTACTAGGAACAAATAGCAAGCAGAATCCATTTTGAAAACAGGAGTGATTCTATCATACTGACAATCACTACCAAGATTTCACAGAAAAAGAATATACTCAACAACTCATCTGGACTGCATTATAATTTAGCTCAACATAGAACTCCAACAATTCAGATTCTCCTTAAGTGAAAACTGTAAAGTTGCCACAACAGTTCCACAGATACACACATCTTCCTTGTTTGGTAGAAATATCAAAGACCAAGAGGCTGCAGGAGGATGAAATCTGCAATTGTTTTTGCAACAATAAATCAGGTATCTATTCTGGTGTAGAGATAGGATGTCGAATGCTGCCCTGCTACCACCAGTGTAGAAATTAAGAGTAGTACAATACATGTACACTGAAACCTGCCATCGCGTGTTTGTGTAAACTCAATGTGCACATTTTGTATTTCAAAAAGAAAAATAAAAGCAAAATAAAGTGTTTATAACTCTACCATATTATGGATGTTTATTCTAACAAACTTTGTAAATAATTACTAGATTTAAAATACTACTCCTTTTTTATAACATTTGCTAGATTGTAGATTATCTGTGGATGGTACTGAATATGAGACGAAAATCAAAGCAAGACCAGTGGGCAGGCAGCTGTGAGAAGATGATGAGGGACTGGACAGCTGATGCAATAGAGTGCCACACACTGACCCGGAAAGAAAAGCTCTGGAAGAGGATGAGCATTTCTGCATTACGGCCGCCTAGGAATTAATGGTGTTCTTTCAAATTAGAATCAACACTGTTTCTGAAATGAGAACTGCAAAGAGGCCACACTACAGGTGTCTGAGAGGCAGGAAAAGGAAGGGCGTTCTACAGCGCCTCTGGGATATAAGACTGTTAGTCCATGAGACTATCAGTAATTTCCATCTTTGTCCTTTGCAGTGGATCTTGGGGTTTTGGATTTGGTGTGGATGCTCAAGTCTCTAAAGCCTTTCCGTGCCAGTAAGACAGGTCTATTTGTTTTCTATTTCTCTTCCTCTATTCCTTCCTCTAACAGGATGATCTAAAATCCACTTCTACTATAGCAGTAATTCTGAACTGTATCTGTTAACTTATGGTCTATTTGTTTCATTAAAAAAAAAAAAAAGCACAACAAAACCACTGAATACATGTAAGAGTTTTAAGATTTTAATTTCTGAGTATCTATATATATTCATCAGTAAATTCAGTCTACAAAATGCAAAAATAATATTTACTTAAATATAATTAATACCTAAAACTTTGGTAGTTTTAGTAAGTTGTAATAAACATACTTGTAATAGAATTTACGTACTGAAAATATTCTTAAAACAAATAATCTGGAAATAAACTTTGCCACACATGCTACATTATAAAATACATATTTACAAATAATTTTAGTGAATTTACAAGTTTTTCCACTGTTTACTCTACAATCTTGATAAATACAAAACCCAAGAAATGACTCCCCCCAGAAATCTACAAAAATAAGTGCACGGATATAAGATGACAAAACAAATTTCATAAATAAAAAGGCACTCGAAAAAAATACAAACACATCTGATCTTGTAAACGCAATAATGGTTCTCAACAAAAATAATCATAGAAGTTCTTTTAATAGTTTCTCATTATTACCCATTCTTTTTTGGTGATGAATAAATTTTACCCTAATTCAGCAGAACTACACATATTCATCTTAACCTGTAAATTCAAGTAACAAATGGTGGCCGTGATTTCCAAAAATAAATAAACTGAACTGAATAAAGGTCAGATAAGTACCCGTGGTCAGTATCTGACACCTATCAGCAGGAAGATGACTTTTTTGGCTCCCTTATTCAACAGCAAACAGAGCAGTATGTTGGGATCTTGGATTTGATGATTATAAGGCTTCCCTGTCGACAGAAAAAATTTAGCATCATTAGTATCATGAAGTTACCTAATAGCTATTACATTTGTAGGGGTATGCCTAAAAAGTCTCCAAAACCAAGAAAATAGAAATAGGACAAGAATAAAATAAGGGAACAAGAAACAGGAGTGGAACTGTATTTCTGAGCTTAACAATATTCTTTGAAGTGTCTGAAGTAGGAAGCAGAGCAGTATTTAAGTTCAGCCTCTCCCAGTTGTCTCATTGTCAAACCCAGGCTAATTACTTCTCCGCACTGCACTTTCACGATCTGTAAAGGAGGGGAACAACAAAGCCTACCTCTGAGGACTGTAGTGAACAGTAAATGAGTTTAATGCCTACAAAGAACTCAACAGAGGATATGCCGTGAAGTGTTAAGTTCTCACATACTCAATAAAGAAATACAGATCAAGCTGTGTGTAAGAATATGCCTTTCCCAGGACAAATGAATATATTACTTAGAAAGAAAATTAAATCAGCTCAAGAAAGAACTGATTTCAATTTAAGGCAGATAATAAAAAGATCAATTATAAGAAAGTGACTGTGTGATCGTAATGGATGTTATTTTATTTCCTCAGAAGTTGGGACTTTATGTCATTGTAATATATATATGTCATAAGAAATATGAAGTTATGCTGCTGAGAAGAATGTTTTTAAAGGCTTATTTCTAACATTTAAGAAAACAAATCTTATATAAGCTTTAAATTCTTAAAAGAGAATGAAAAGCATTCATTAAATTCATACAGGACTGCAAAGTACCAAAATCAAACACAATAACAATTAACCAAGAGAACGTCTTTGATATGTAACAAATACAAAATTTTCTATTGGAATTATGGAAATATTTTAAAAATGTTAAATAGGACAAAAGGAAGGTACTAGAAATTTAAAGAAATGAGTAATACTTAAAAGCCCCAACAATGACAAAACCTTTTTCATTTTATTTATTCTTTACTACTATACTCAAAAAAATGAGTCAATAAAACTGAGTCCCAATACAAGAGAAACTATGTTTGGGCCCTGGAATTATTAAATATATCCTCTGTATTCCGGGTCCAAATCTTAATGTGCTACTTCTAAAATTTATTTCACACACATGGGCGTACATGCACCTATCTATGAAATAGTACATGCTGGTCCTGTCCATTTTTGTTGTCCTGTTCCCCAAAGGCCCAACAGGATAAGGAACACCATGTAGGAAGTTTCAGAATAAAAAGCTGTCACCAGCATTTAGCATCTGTTTACTTGCATCTTATGGGAGTGGAAAGGGCAAACAGTTTTTGCATTCAAATTCTCCCAACAGCCAGCATATTTGCAAGCAAGCAGTGTGCTTCTGCCAAGAGAGGACATGGGACTGGCTAGGAACTACTTCTGTACGTCTCCTCTCCAAGAGTCTGGGTGCTTGTCCTCTGCCTAGGACTTCAACACAACAAAGAAATTGTCTAGTAGGATTACAGAGGTACTTCCTCTTAATAAATTCTTCTCCAGGCATTCATCATGGAAAGAATGCAGTCCACTTAAAGTGACTGAAATTAGTTAACTTGGATAATTTAGGCAAAATTTATACCAAAATGTCTGTAATCTAAAACTATATAATTACTCAAATTTCTTGTAACTTAATTCCTTTAGAAAAAGTTTCTCAAGTGAAACCAGGTTCTGCGATATTAAGATAATGAATGACATGTACTTCTATCATTATAATCTGATAAAATATCATCTCCTAAATAAGACCGATTTACTTCTAAAACTACATTACCTAAATACTTTTTTTCAATGATAAAAATTCAAGCAATGTAGTTATTGACAATGCATAGTAATAAAAGCCCCCATATTTTTGTTCTTTGAAAAGTGAGAATAACGCCCTGAGCCTCTGGAGCAGGTGTGTGTGAATCCCGAGCACGAGGAGAGTGCACGTGCTCGCGGACGCAGAGCACAGTCACTTGCTAGTCTTCAGGGGTAGACCCTAAACTCTGAGGAAAGGCTGGTAGATGGGCAGAAAGGGGCATGGGGTGTGGCTTAGTAGTGATCGCCAGGACCAAACAAAATAAATAAGGATAAAAATATCTGGTGAGCTCTCTAAGTGCACCTCTTTTTAATTTTTTTTTCCTAGACTTTCAGTGGTCAAAACAAAACTGTCTAAAATATCTGAAAGAAAGGCGCTAAGCCGCAGTACATGGAGTGCGCTGTGGTAAGCACAGTGAGGTATACAGTCCTCTATTTGCTCAGCCTGGGTCTGAGCCCTGGTACTTAAAAACTGTGTGACCCTGCCGGACAAACTCTGAGCTCTAGGAAGAAATAGCGCACTATCTAGCACCGTCACATGGTTACTTGCAGCTGGAGTAATACAAGCAGGTCATTTTATAACACGATTAAAACTCTATAAATGACGTAAGGAATGATGCTCTGCTTACACTTCCACCGTGCTGCTCCAGCTTCTGCAATGCACTGGTGATTGGCTCCTTGAATTTCTTGTCCATCAGCCTCTTGGACAGCTTTTGAAATAAAATAGAGAAGGCGGCATATGATGATTTGAAAAAGTAACAATATTTACAGTAAGTAAAACTATGAGCATCTTCTGATTTTAAGATTTCAAGACTTCTTTTAGGTAATATCTCATTAAAATTTACATGTCCTAGACACTACTGTACTTGTTTACCAAAATGAATTTACATGATCTGAAGTAACATTCATTTTGCAGTATCTGTTAAGAGCGTAACTGAAGTAAGTTTTCAATGAAATACCACAAGTCTCATTTTGTAAAATACAAGTTCATTTGGAGGACTATGATAGAAAGTTCTCTGAAGAACACATTTTCTGCCAGGGGTATAGCTCAGTGGCACAAGCACCTGCCTGGCAAGCAGGTCCTGAGTTTGATTCCTGGTACCAAAAAAAAAAAAAAAAAAAAAGATTCAAACGTTTGGGGTTGGGGATTTAGCTCAGCGGCACAGTGCCTGCCTGGCAAGTGCAAGGTCGTGAGTTCGATTCCCAGTACTGGGAAAAAAAAACAACAACAAAAAACAGAACACATTTTCCTACAATTAGAGGGGACAAATAACAGAATATTTCTATGAATAATTCACTGAAGATAGATACAGAAATCAGACTCCAAGCTATCACGACAGCTGTCACCCATGACCCTCATGCACTTATGTGGGGATTGTGAAAGGTGACTGGATTGTGGCGGCTCATAGCTGACTTGCCGTCAGGAGGTGGGGTCTGGCTGGAAGAGATGGGTCACTGGGGTGCAGTCTAGAAGGGCTTATCTTTCTTCTCTGGTTCCTCCCTTCACTCTCTGCTTCCCATCTGCCACAGCGGGAACAGCTACTCCCTCCCTGACTTAGGGCCAGCAGAGTATGGACTGAAATGTGAGCTAATAAAGCTCTCCTCTTAAATTATGGGCAATGAGTACTGTGTCTTAGCAATAAAGAAAGTGACTAAGACAACCACTTGCCTGAAGTCATATATCTGAAGTGGGTCCTAACTGCGAAAGTGGAAGTTAGTTTAAAAAAGGAAAGGTCCTAAGATGAGTGGGACAGAATCACAGGAGCAAGTAGAGACGTACACAATTCAGGGAAACAAGCGCAGCTTATAACAATATTCCCACCAAATGTCTGCATTACTACACCCAGAGACCATAACACTTCAGCTTACTCTACTTCCTAGAAATACAAATGAAGTCCGGGAAAGAGTTCATTATTCATCAAACACTACTAGAGCCCATGCCACGTAAAATGTGGCCCTTACCCCTACCTTCCGGGTGGTAACCTCCATGATCAAAGAAGGCACTGCCAGGTAAGTATCCAACTTAACCTTAGGCCAGGCTAGTCCATACCAACAATGTGATTTATGGTGGGGTCACTGGGCTACACAGTATGAGCTGGATCTAGGGAGGCGAATGCCAACCACACAGGCAGGCAGTCATGCTGAGTGACACAGCCCAATAAAAACCCTGGACACTGAGGCTCAAGTGCACTTCTCCGGGCAGCAGTACTGCAGGCACACTCCCGCCTGCTGTCGGGAGAGTAAGCACTGACTGCACAACTCTGCTGTGAAAGGAAAGACTGAGCCTCGGAGCTTGCTCTCTCCAGGCTACGGTTCTATGTGCCCCTTCACTGGGCTGACCTGCATGTGTGTCTTTGTGCTGTAAGAAGCTAGCCACGAACAACAGCGTCTCTTGGTTTCATGAACACATCTAGCAAATCACTAAACCTAAGTGTGGTCTCAGTGACCTCCTGAACTGCAGGGTCCCAAATGTATCACCCTAAATGTAATTTACAGACTCACAATAAAGAAGAAAAGAAAAAAGAAAAAAAGAAACCCTTGGTTTCTGCAATACATAATCACATAAGAGAGTATATGAGCACGGTTTATAATTCATGATTACTAGTGAACACAGGTATAATGCTATTATACTGCTGGTTAATTTTTTATACATTCAACTTTTGTTTACTTATTATAGGTCTAAGGCCTGCTCTTCTAGGCACTTTCCAGTACAAAAAATTCAAGAGAAACATTCTTACTATCCATTAGTAAAACTTTTCATGAATTACTAAGTCCAGTTTCTATTTTTTAACTAACATAATGAGCTTAAGGTTCTGAAATATTTCAATGACTAATGTAAAGACAGTAAAAAATGAGGAGAAACATTGGCACAACCATTCTCTAATTAGCAGAACTTACACTTGTAAGCAGATGCTTCAGATGATCATTCAGAGAAGGACCAACGACGACACTCAGCTGTACCAAAGCACTCAATCCTCTTTCAAACACTTCATCATCTGAATGAACCTGTGGAATGGGTTAATTAGGGGAGCAGTGGTGTGACGTAGGGGTTGGTTAGCGAAAAGGGCAAGCAGGTTGAGAAAAAAGTAAGATTAAACATTTAAATTAGAAGATAGTCAATGCCAATTAGAATTTAAGAAATAACTTTTAATTTAAGCAGATGATCTGGAGGCAAAACACAAATTTTAAATAAAATATATACAGTTTATAGAAAGACTAAAGTGGGTTTGCCACTTCCTCTAACTACTCAGAATGTCCCTTCCTGAAAACACCCTCTAAAGTTATCTTCCAGGACATAACCACGCAGCCTTTTTCGGGCACAGCCCTTTACAGTGGCCTTACCCTGCACATATGTCAAAATCTCAAGCAGAGGACTAACTTGGATGTAACAGAAGAGAGGCATAAAATGTGCTTTCTATATCAGAACTTTCTTTTCTCTCATGTGATTCAGAAGAAAAAAGTACAATGAAATAAATGACATACCAGAGCTGCCCTTAGCACAGGAATCAGTCTAGGAAGCAAAGGTACGGCTTTCTCAGGAGCACCTTTCACCAAGAGTAATTCTCTAAAACCCTCCTTGGACACAAAGGTATACGGATGTTTAGTCTCTCTCAGACCCTGAAAAGACACAAAAACGAAAACAAAGAAGCAGGATTCACTATCATTTTCCTAACAACAGAAAAAATTGAATCTTTACTAAGTAAAAATCCTAGGTCATAACGCTTAATTTCAGCAATTATAAGAGTATGTTTACAACCACTCCAAGAGTGCCAAGCTACGGGACTCCCTACCATATGAACGAAACTCTTAGATGTTTTTAAAGAATCTTCTGTGAAAAGCACCCCATGATATTCTACTAAAACACACCCAGTAGGGCACAGAGGTGGTTGAAATCACTTCCTAAGATGTGCACCATATTAATACAACTGGTTATAGACACAAAGAAGCCCTTATTATCTGACATCAATTTATCTTAATCCTATTTTCTGGGATTTACCTAGTACAAAAAAAAAAAAAGAAATTTCCTTCTCCTTATAATTCTGTTTTTATTTTTTGAATTAAGTATGAATATTTTATCCACTTATCTACAAATCTCCAGTGGACTAACAGGTTTATAAAACTGGTTAGTCAATTTCTAGTATGCATATGACAATTTTAATTACTTCCTAAGAAGGTATAACATTTTAATGTCTATTATTTTGTTCCTATTTTGAAAGTACAAAATGATATTTGTGGACCTTCAACAAATATTTAATGCAATTAAAAAAAATTTTTTCCCAATTAACATTCAGGAGAGATGAACTATTTACCTCAGCTAAAGTAATAAGAAGAGGATCAAATGGAAGATTTTCAGGAGGACAGTCCCACTGTAATCTGTGCTTCACTGAACCATGCACCAATCTAAAACAGTAAAAGCAGTAAATACAGGGATCCTCTACCACATATACTACTTATAGAGTCTAAATGTATTAGAATTATTTTACAGCATACAGGTAGCTCATGATTTAAAAAAAATTACAAAAACAATTTTCAAAATAATGACTATAATCCTATAAAGATCCCCATTCTTTCAGCAAAACTGGTAACCCCACATTTGTTAAATCTGTAATTATGGTATTTAAAGAATGTTATTATTTCTTAATCTTAATCCTAATGCTCCAATTGCTTGTTCTTTGTCATAATTACAACAAAATACATGACCTACGAAAGTAAAAGCATACAGACAAAATGCAATCATTAGAAGAAATGATTTACAAAAGCACTGTGTTTCATATACTTAAATTTATAGTTTTAAAAGTGGTTCATTCTGTTTTTTAAATTATTTCATGGTTTTCCACAGATCATTTACTCTTACCATTAATAATATGAAGGAAATAAGATTTAATCCCTGTTACAGAGAACAAATAGATCAGAAGGTAAAATGGCCTATTCAGGTAGCTGTTGAATTAGGGTCTATGCATTGAGATGTAACTGACATGAACTATGTGGTATATACTTAAAGGTAATGTGAAAAGTGCAGATGAATACACGCAAGGAGCCATCACTCCAGTAACAGTGAGTTCATCCATCAGCCCAGGCTCCCTCACCCTCCTGCAGGGATCATCTCAACTTCCTGACTCCTTTAGTGTTGTCCCGTAAGAGTCAGAAGTCTCTGTAACTGTTTTACATTTTTAGCAAAACTAAACTGCTGGAGGGGAAGGGGTGCTCTCAAGACCTTTACAATAGAGCTGCAATTCAAAATCTCAGTATGAAATAATAAAATGAACACTTCTGAATGTTTTTTAAGCTCAAAATTTGAAAATACCATTAATAACTATATTTTTTTTCATTTTTAGAAAAGCAACAAAAAATAAATGCTGTGAATATCCTTTCCATGATGAAAATCAAACTTTCTGTTAGGACAGGCAAAAATTTAATATGCTGTGAAGAAAGGCAGCAAGAATCATACGTAAAAAGAAGCACAATCAAATATCCACACGCAATAAGATATTTAACTTCATTAAATTGCCAACATGTTCTTTATCAAGATAGGATTTCTTATTTTCCATGTGCCCAAACCTTTAAGTATTTAAATTTATGTTTTAAAAGTGGGTCATTCCCCCAGGTGTGGCAGCACATGCCTGTAACCCCAGCACTTAGGACGCTGAGGAAGGAGGATTGTCGCAAGTTCAAGACCAGCCTGGGCTACAAAGTGAGCTCAAGGCCAGCCTGAACTGCACAGCGAGACCCTGCCTCAAAAAGACACGAAGTGGTTCATTCTGTTTTTTGAATTATTTCATGGTTTGACACAGATCTCAGTTCTCTGTAACTACACTCTGGAATTCAATGGTTTTCTTCAATAGTGCCTGGAGATCTGTACCAATCCAACAGCCAGGGCAGTAAGTTATCATTATTTCAATCTTTCTAGTAAATAAAACTGTGAATACATTTAAACTGAACACTGCATTGATTTTGCTCAATTATCCTGAAGAATATGGTCAGTTTTAAATTGTATTGATTTTACCTGCAAGGAATACCTCCTTTAGAATAAATAGCAGCAAATGCAGAAGGGACTCGTGACTGTTCACCAAACTGAAAGAAAAAATGAAAATATTACCATCGCCTCCATTTTGTGATATCTAATCAATTTTCATTCTGCTGCAATCAGAGGCAAACAGTCAACTTGATTTTCAAGTTGCCATTCTGGCATTATGTACATTACTTTTGCTCAGCTACAAGTCTGAGAAAATTGTCTCAATACTATTAAAACCACAATTAAGCTTTGTATACTTCTTTGTTAGTACAAAGAGCTTGAAAGTGGCTGAAATTCTATACAGGCTGCTGCAACATGAAGGCTGAATGGAGACGTGGTGTTAAATACAGAGAAAGTATGTTTATTTACCACTACCAGCGTATCTCCTACTTGCCCCCCAGCTGAATAAAATGGTGTGTATAGTTACAGACTCTGTATAATTTCTCCAGGCTGCCTTTGTGCTCTATAAGAAAAAGATTGGGTCAAAGCCTGTGTGGTGGCACATACCTATAATGCCAGCATTCTGGGGGACTGAGGCAGAAGGATCACAAGTTCAAGTCCACCCTGGAGAACTTAATAAGACCTTGTCTCAAAATTTAAAAATTAAAAGGGCTGGAGATGTAGTTCAGTGTGAAGGCCCTTTGTTCAATCCCCAGCACTGCAAAATGAAGCAAAACAAATCGACTGGGTCGAGTACAGTGAGGAAGTCAATGAGTGTGCAAGATTCCCACAAATACGTATCTGAACATAATCTCTTTGATTATATAACTTCAAACCTTCCAGTATATACACACACACATATATACATTTCAGTGGTCTCCAACCCTTTTGGCACCAGGGAGGGGTTTCATAGACAGTAATTTTGAGGGTGTGGTTAGAGGAGCTTTTGGGATGATTCAAATGAGCATGAACTTAGGTCTGCGGCATCAGGACTTCACAGTAAAGGATGTGCTCTCTGATTTGACAGCAGGCAGAGCTCAGGCAATGAAGCCAGGGACAGGGAGCAGCTGTAACTACAGATGATGCTTCCCTAGCTAGCCCCCTGCTTACCTCCTGCACGGAGCCTGGTTCCTAACAGGCTACAGACCTGTACCCCTATCATAATAGAGCAGATTAATTCTACTCTCTAAGATGAGATGGTTCATCAACAAATCAAACCACCATAGCCTAAATAATTTAAATATAATTACTCAGAGACTCGAAAATTTAGACACAAGTGTTTCATCTCATGGTACTTTGAGCATAATCACATGAAATACTATTGCCTGAATTATGAAATAAAAATGTAATAACCTATGTTAAAGATATAACTAGCTCTTTTTGAAAAAAAACATACAAAGCTTAAAAATAAACTCAAGAGTATACATTTTCAAGTAACTTATTTACATGATAACTTGAAAGTAATTTTTAAAGCCTGTAAAGCTTTTAAAGCAGGAATTATGACCAAGAGAGTAAAAACATTCTTCTATTACTACAAATGCTACCTAGGACTTGGACTGAATTTTAAAACTAAATTTTGTATCTCACACTTGTCCTCCAAACATGTTTTTTTCCAGAGGAAAAAAGTTAATTCTAAATGGATGCTCTATACCAGTGATGGTGAGTTTTCGGATCTTTCAATGATACAAACAGCTCACTGTGACACATTAGATTCACCACCCCTGGCCTACCTCATTCAGCAAGCTAGACGCCTCGTATTGCTACCTTGCAGCTGACACTACTACTGAACTATCTTGAATGCCACACAGTTTCCTCTATTTGCTACTTTTGAACTGTTAGCGAAGGAAGAGTGCACGGTAACGATGGAGAACAGAGATGATGCTGTATGTATGGGAGGGACCGGGAAGGTGAGCAGATGCAGGGACTAACAGGCTCTGGTACATTCTACATCTTGATGTCAATAGGAAACCTGCATTCATCTGCCATCAAAAATCAGCCAAGAGCTTCAGCTGTTCTCATAATCCCCTTCAAAGGAGGAAAATGTTGTCACCCTGCTCTATGTCAGTGGTGGCGAACCTGTGGCACACGTCCCACAGTGGGCCGTTTTTATCATTGAAAACTCTAAATGGTTTGCCGTCACTGCTCTATACCAAGGCTGAGCACAGGCCACACAACACCTGGTGGTGCTGCAAGGCATTTTAATTTCTGGACAATTCACTGACCCACAGCGTTAGAATTGAGGTACTTTTATATAAATAAACCTCAGGTTTTGTTAAATGTGATTAAATTCCCTTTGAGAGAGAAAAAGGAAGCTAGTATTACAGTTAGGACTGTTATAGAATGTAGAGGAATGGCCAAATACCTTTACAAAACTACACAGCCTTATCAACTGAGTAAGCATTCTTATTGAAGTTAGTAAGTTAAATAACATTAAAAAATACAAAACAGTTGACACTCAGTCCATTTTATGCTGTACAAGGTTCATCACTGAATCTGATAGGGCATACCAAACTGACTAATCTAGTTTAACCAAACAAATGGAGGAAATTTGGGCAGCATTTGGAATGGTGCAACAGTAAGAAGCTAACTGCCTATTACCTTTAAAAACCTAGTGTCGGGAAGCTTTCATTGTACTTACAGGGTTAATTGTCTTAGGGTTCAGCTTATCACTTGGTCGAGGATGAAGTTTTGTTACAGACTCTGGAGAATTGGTTAATGATGTGGATGTGCTTCGCTGCACTGCAGTCCTCTGTTTTATTTGTGCACCTGCAGATGTCCTTTGATCACAGTTACCTGGAAAAAATAGGTGTCAACAAAAAAGAAGTAATAAAGTACATTTATAACACAGAAAGTCTCGTTAACAAAGCTGGCTTCTTCGTTTACAAAAACCAAGTTCTGACCTGTTACTCTGCTTCTCAACTGTACACTTGAAGGACACCCTGGCTTCTGCATTGCTCCCGTGTTACTTCTGCAGTTGATTTCAAAACTTCTGTATCTGCAATCAACATAAAGATCAAAACAGAATACAGTATAAACTAGAGTAGAGTACACACAAAATAGGTAGTACAGAGCCAAATACCTGAAAAAGACTAAGAGGAAGACAGGAAATAATGGCAACTTTATCAATTATAATAACATCAAAAACACAAACCATGCTCAGGTAAGCAAGATGTATAAAAATAATTTTCCCCACGGGAATTGTCAAAGAACAATGTAAGAAGCTCATCTCCAGCAATCTGGCCACATGAAAATACATACACTAGATTTTTAAAAGGAGTGGCTTGTACATCCTTACTTATGCCAAAAAGTAGTTCCTGTAACACAATAATGCTTTCTATTTTGCATGAGTTCAAAAAGTCTCTGAAGTTACTCATTTGAAAAACTTTTAAGCATGTTAGAAATGTTAGAAAATGGAGCTTCCCGCGTTTTTAAGCATACAGGACAGTTTTTATGCACAACATATGTACCTTTCATCAACAACTACATAGATAATAATGTAAGATTTCTAAGTACAATTTCAAAAATAGCCTATAGAAATGAGTGTCTTTCAAACAATTCTTTTTTTACTCGTTAAAACTACCCCTCTTTAAGGCAAATTAAGTGTCTTCTTTAAAAAAAGAAAAAAAAAAAAAGCTACCTGGGAGCACACCATCAACAAGCTTGAACACGACTGTCTGTATGAGAAAAATGCTGACTTCACTTTACCCTCAACAACTCTTTCAGATGATGTTTCATTAAGTATGGCGTGCAGGAAGATGGTGATGTAGTGACAGAGAACGTGAAGAAGTAGGAAGCATTTTGTGTTATAAATATTATAGAAATCACCCTTCATTTCATCCCCTTTACAGGATAACATAAACATTTTAAAGAGGCGCTAGAATCCACAGCTCCACCAAACGTGGAACCCAGCTACTCCACAATGACAGAGAAAAAACAAGGCAACTAAAGCCCCACTGCATGGCAGTTTTCCTTTATATTGGATACTGCAGATCGCATATAAGGGATTCCAGCACCCGTGCAACGCCAGGAAAACACGCCTTCGGCGTTTTGGACAACTCGAATCTCCTGTTCGTTTCTCTATAATATCTGCCGTCGCCCCAGCACGGACTCAGAGACCACTGCCCCGCCTGCTAAACTCGTAGGGGCGGAACCGACCTTCTGCCCTCCTCTCTAATCCAGTGACTGCGAAGTTCCAAAAGTTGAACAGGCCCCTCACCGGAGAAGCTGTGCTGCACGTTTAAAGCTCTCTCAAATTCCAAGGGACAGAGAGAGCGCGACACTCACTCGTCCCAATCAGTCCCGCCGCAGAGGAAGCCTAAAACTCGCGATGTTTCCGACATCCCTCCGTGCCCCGCCCCCAAACATCCAAGACCCACTTTCGGGACCAGCGAGTTGTCAAAGTTAGAAAACCAGCGAGACGCGCAGAGGACAATGGCGAAAAGCAGCAGTTAATATCGGGGGAAGAGGGAGGCGGTCGGTTTCCAGCCAGCTCCGCAAAGGCGGCTCCGGGCCCGGCCCGACCAGACCCGACCCAGCCCCGGGAGAGGCGGGGGCGCCGCCGCGCTCAGGAACGCGGGGTCCTTAGCAACCGCAGGCGGCCGCGCAGGACCCGTGGGCCCGCTAGGACGCCGGCCTGACGGAGTGCGCGGCGGGAACCTCATCCCCACGGCCACAGCTCTGGGTGCTCGCTCCTACCGCGCCTCTCCGCCACCGCCTTCTTCACACAGCCGCCGCCTCGGGTCCCCGGGCGGACAGCCACAGGGTCAGCCGCTGACCCCTTGGGTTCGGTGAAACGCGGCTTCACGCTGTCACGCCCCCGACGCCGCACACTGACGTCAGGCGCACGCTGCGTCCTATCAGCCAATGGCAGAGAGGCCGCGAGAGCGCAGGCGGTAGTAGACGGTTACCGTGGCAACCGGGTGTGTGGCGTTCAAAGGGCGGAGCTCTGACCAGTGGAGCTGTGTTTGCTGACAAAAGGGCACCCGGTGGAGATCTTCCCAGAAGGAGAGTTTGTGGAAGCAGAGGAGATGAATAACTGCGGTCCCTTGCGCCCTAACTTTTTTCCAGGCTTGGGCTGAACTTCTAGCTTCTTTCAACTACAGAGTTCTCTGTTCTGCCTCTGATGTTCTAAAAGCTGAGGATTGTGAACTCATGTTCCAAAACCATCTGGCCTAACCAACTGTGGAATTTCCTTGACATTCCTGTTCTATCTAGTGGAAATCCGCTTCCTGTCATATTTTACTAATACATACGCTGTTACACTCAACTACAGAATATATCCCTATTCTGGTATTACAAAGCACGTGATTGTGTCCTCAGAATTATTTTGACTAATCAGCTGTTGCAGGAAAATGCGTTTCCTCTTACTATCCACCAGCATCAGTTTGAATTGTTTTACTGAAGCACTGAAACTCCTTTACACCTGTCCATTGTAATCCTTCCTAATCTTCTCCTATTGAAAACTCAAGCTTAACCTTCTACTCAACTGAAGTACACAACTGTGCAGTCCTCCTGTGTCCTTGTAGCACCTTTCTTATTACCTGACTGTAACCCCAGAAGCATCTTTATGAGGATGTGTGTTTCTTCAGGATAAGGACTTTGTCTTTTATTTTTTTCTCTAGCTTCTGATGGGTACTCAGGAAATGATTTTTTGAGTTAATAAAATGAATGAATGAATTCTGCCCATACTTAATTTCACTAGTGCTTTAAGAACCTTGCATAGAAAATTGCCTTAATTTTAAAATTTATTATAATGTCCAAGTCTATATCCTCATGAGAGTCAAATTGTCTTCATTGATTTTCTATCCCCAGCACTTGTCACAGTGCATGCTTAACTAATGGTGTGAAAAATAGAACATTTAAAAATGTCCTGTATCTTCAGCTATTTTTGTACTATAACTTTTCTCCAGCTTTCACAAACCCTATCATATCTTTTTTACCACCAGCAGACATCAGGCTCAGAAATACAGCCTATTGACCTTCTAATAATTTTGCCCTGGACTAAAAGAATGATTTGTGTTCAATATTGCAGAGAAGCAATGTGCATATTGCTCTGAAAGTAAACTCTAAATCTGAAACTCGTCTCTACTTCTTACTAGCTATGATGCCTGTGTAGGACAACTCCTCTAACCTTAAATTTTCTCTGCATCATAGGGGCCTTGTGAGACTAAACAGCAAGATGAATGTGCCTGACATATAGAAAGTACCCAGCATTAGCTAGTGCAATGATCCCGGTGAAAGGAAATTAAAATTAACGTGCGGAGAACAGGCATGGTGGTACTCAAGTTTAATCTCAGCACTCAAGAGTTTGAGGCAGGAGGATCATTCTGAGTTTGAGTCCAGCCTGGGCTACATAGTGAGTTCAAGGCCAAGCTGGAATACATAGCAAGACCCTGTCTCTAAAATAAAAATAAAATAAAATAGAATAAACATACAGAGCCCTGTAAGTGGCAAAGATTTGAAGCTATATTTTGGAGTACTGAACATGGACAATGACTTAAATTTTCAGACCTTTATAATAACCATTATTGCCTGCATGAATCTCTCTTAATCATAATTATAATAGCTTCCTCTAAACTTTCTTCATTTTGTAAAAGAAGAAATAGACCCAATGGTTTTACACCTTTGTCAGAATATCATGCAATAAAGGTTGGGTGTTTTTTTTTTTTTTTTAGGTACTGGGAATTGAACTCAGGATCTTGTGCTTACCAGGCAGGTGCTTCTGCCGCTGAGCTATATCCCCAGTCCCAAGGTTGGGATTTTTTAAACAACTTATTTGAGAAGCCTGTGAGGTGTCCAGGTAGAGACCACCAGCAGACAGTTGGCTATGGCCATCTAGAGTGTAGGGAAGAAGTGTGAGGAGTTAGAGATTTTAGAGTCATCCATGTACAGATGGTAACCTATGGTACGGGAGTAGATAAGGTCCAAGAGAATATGCAGCCTTTGAGAAACAGAACACTGACTGTGGGCATTTGTATTCTAATTCTGCTCTGGTTTTAAGGTGAAATTCTATATTTGGGAGGGCATGTAGAAGAATGAGGGAGGGAAGGTAATCTATATGTTTAGAAGTATGGTGTTTATTTTGAAAACAGAATGTACCATATATTTTCTGTCAGCCTCTGCGGATTCCCTCTCTGTCTTCCCTATTTGCCTGCTCTGGGAAGCTCATCAGCATGAATGACATCACTCCTAAACCCACCAGCTTCGGTTTGGGTTTGGCTAATGGACAACATTAATGACAGATTAAAGAAATTAGGATATAGTGAAGTCAGAGTATCATTTCTTTGCCCCCCACCCATATGAGGTTCCCCAGGTTTGGTTGTTATTCTCAAGTAAATGTCACAGCTTCTTTTTTCTATGGTCAGACCTTTTGTGTTTCTCCAAATTCAAATGTTGAAATACTCACCTCAAAGTGATGGTATAAAGAGGTGTGGAATTTGAGACGTGTTTAGGTCATTGCCTTTGTTACTTTTCTCTCTTTGCTGAGACAAAATACCCGACATGCAGAATTAAGGAAGGAAAGGTTTATTTAGCTTACAGTTTGTGGAGGTTTCAGTCCGTACTTGGCTGGCTCCAAGGTAGAGTGGCACATGGCAGAGGGCAACAGTTCATGGGCAGCAAAAGATAGCAAAAGCAATAAGAGCAAATGGGAGGAGTGGCAGAGGGAAGCAGCCTCTTTCCCTCCCTTACACTGTACGCAAACTACCTGCCTCAGGGCAAGTATAGCACTCACATCCGTAATTCCAACATTGGACCATGAATCAACCATAAACTGTAAAAGCCTGCCCCATGACTGCATGAGGATTTGGGGGGCATGCAGGCACAAATCACAACAGTCATGGGGGAGAGACCTCACCAATATGACTAGTGAATGTCCTTATAATAAAGGCTTCAGAGAGACCGTTGATGCCCACCACGATGTAAGGATGAAATTAGAAGACACTATTTATGGACAAGAAAGTAGGACCTCACCTGACGCAGAGTCTGGTCGTGATTGACTTTAGATTTCACATTCTCCATAACTGTGAGAAATAAACATTTGTTGTTTATAAAGTACCAAGCCTGTGATGATTTATCATAGTAGCCTGAACAGAATAAGATTAAGATTCTGTCTAAATGCCCAATTAATGATAGGCATGAAATATCAGGGACTTCTAACTCTGGATTACTGTAGTGTGTGATTCACCAAAACCTTTATATGTTAAAATATACATGAATTATTCCATTTTTAGTATGTTATTACATATTATATAAATTGTGAATTAGGTAATTAATATAACCAAAGTTAAACATTCAGTACAATAGGTTTCCTCAGTTTTTAATTCATTTGTAGTTGATTGACTAAATAATTGCATTTGTTTGGTAAGAAAGCATTCTAAAAAAAATCAGTGGTATTAATGGCCTTGCTTTAATCAATGTAGAAAAAAATATCTTCCTTTTCATACAGATTACAGACCAAGCAATCATTCCCAATGATTATTCCCAAGTTCCACATCAGGAAATGAAATACAATACATTTTGTATGTAATTGCCAGTATACTCTGTAAGGGACTGTTAGACATCACCATTATAAAGCCATTAAAACTCACTTGCACATGGAAAAAATTAAGCAGTGATAGTGTCTCTTCAGGTGAAAGCAAATGATATCAATATGGGTGAGCATGTAAAACCCCATTGTCTGACAAAAGAAGAAAGCAAGTGACAAAGGAAATTTCCAAGTAGACACACAGTTAAAAACTAAAAAGAAATAATGAAATTAATTGTAATAGTATATTTTATTTGTGTTCAAAATATCATGTTTAATATATAGTAAATATGAATATTATTAATATGGTATTTTCTTTCTTGTATCTTGCCAAGTCTTAAAAATCAGTGTGCATTTGGCATTTATAGTACATTTTAGTCCATATTTGACTTATTTCAAGTCTTGAAGGATCACATATGGCTAGTGCCTACCATATTGGATAACAAAAACAGAAAGAGCTATGGCCACAGATAAGCACTGTACAAAATAATATAACTATATTAAGTAATTTCTCAGAAATATTATACATGAAATACATTATTTTTGTGTTTGAAGACAAACATCTATGAATTTGGCATGAATCTGACTAGACTCAGTGCAAATAATTACTTCCTTTATGAGTCTTAGTTGTATGTAATTTCTTTATAAATGCTCTCTCTGGCCGTGAAACAAACTCACTCTTCTTGGAACTGTGATGGGAGAATGAATCTTAGAGGAGTGAGGCATCTGTCCTCTGTCCTTGTAAATTCCTTGTTTTTGTCTCTTCTCAGGTTCTCAGTAGGAGTAAATTCTATTGCCCTCTGGTTTCCAGGACATATTGTATTTTTCCAAAATAAAGTAAAAGAAATCTATCAGTTGACTTCTGCCCTGTTGAGGTCATAGACCCTGTAAAGCTACAATAAAATCATTTGCCTGGACACACTGGAGAGCGTTTCTTCTCATCTGACACCCTGCTAGTTTCAGGGAAATCTATAGCCTTATTAGTTCAAGGACATTCACTTGTGGAGTACGAGGCGGGTGCGGCAGGCATACTGTTTTTGCTCTCAAATGTGGATTTTGACTCTGATGATATATTCTTCTGGCACTTCCAATTAATAGCCTCTGAACTTGGCTTTTGAGTGTCACAAGTCAAGAAT